GCTTACTCACATCGCCACCCTCATCCTGACCCTCAGAATCCACGTTCTTGATGAGTTTTCCTGCAAATTACTATTCTGACAGCTGCCCCTCAGCCACACTGCCTGCTCCCAGCTTCCTGTCAGGCTTCTCCCACCCCTCAGCCTTTCTCAAACTTGCCTGTCCTTGAAGGCCCCTGCACCCTGCCTCCTTTTCCCTGAGTGGGAATAGGCCATGGTAGAGTGTGGAGACGTGGTGGTCGCCAGCCTTGCTCCCCAGGAGAACTGTTTGCTGGAGAACGAATGCTAGTTAGGCTGGTGCTTGAGGAGGAAAGGCTGGTTTGGGGGCTGCCGAGAGCGTCCCTGGGTCCTGTTACACTTGGCTTTCTTTGGGTTTGGTGTGGCATGGCCTGTCTGTGGGACCCAAGAGAGCTGGGAGCACTGAGAAAAGACAGTAGGTGAAGGCCTTGATAAGCTCTGGAGGTGGGGGGAGCTCGGGGTGGGGGGGAGATTGAAGAGGCTGTTTTTCTTTTTTCTTGGTTTTCTTTAAATTTTATTTTGTATTGGTTTCAGGTGTACAGTTTAGTGGTTACAAAATCGTATACTTAGTGTTCCCTCGATATTTCCAATATCCCAGCTGGCACCATACATAGTTATCACAACATTATTATTGACTGTATTTCCTATGCTTTATTTATATCCCTGTGACTATTTATAACTACCAATTGTACTTTTTAATGCTTTTACCTCTTTTATTAAGTCCCCCAACCCCCTTCCTTTCTGGAAGTTATCAGTTCATTCTTGGTATCTGTCTGTTTCCATTTTGTTCATTTATTTTGTTATTGAGATTTCACATATAAGTGAAATCATATGGTGTTTGTCTTTCTCTAATGACTTATTTCACTGAGCATAATAGGTCTATCCATGCTGTCGCAAATGGTTAAGATTTTATTTTATTTTTTTATGGCTGAATAACATTTCATTGTATATATGTACCACAGCTTTTAAAAAATATATTTTATTGATTATGCTATTAAAGTTGTCCCAATTTTTCCCCCTTTGCTCTCCTCCACCTGGTATCCCCCATTCCCTCCAGCAATTTCCTACCCCTTAGTTCATGTCCATGGATCATGCATATAAGCTCTTTGGCTTCTCCTTTTCCTATACTGTTCTTAACACCCCCCTGTCTATTTTGTTCTTACCAATTTGCACTTCTTACTCTCTGCACCTTTCCACCCATTCTTCCCCTTCCCCCTCCCAACTGAGAACCCTCCAGATGATCTCCATATCTATGATTCTGTTCTTGTTCTGCTTGTTTGCTTAGTTTTTAAGATTTAATTGTTGATGCTTGTGAACTTATTGCCATTTTAATGTTCATAGTTTTGATCTTTTTCTTAAATGTCCCTTTAACATTTCATGTAATAATTGCTTAGTGATGATGAACTCCTTTAGCTTGACTTTGTCTGGGAATCCCTTTGTATGCCCTTCCATTCTAAATGATAGCTTTGCTAGATAGAATAATCTTGGATGTGGGTCCTTGCTTCTTCCTCACTTTGAATACTTCTTGCCAGTCCCTTCTAGCTGCAAAGTTTCATTTGAGAAAACAGCTGACAGTCTTATGGGCACTCCTTTGTAGGTAACTGTCTGCCTTTCTCTTGCTGCTTTTAAGATTCTCTCTTTATCTTTAATCTTTGGCATTTTAATTATGATGTGTCTTGGTGGGGTCTTTTTTGGGTGCATCTTGTTTGGAACGCTCTGTGCTTCCTGGACTTGTATGTCTATTTCCTTCACTAAAATAGGGAAATTTTCTTTCACTGTGTTTTTTTTTTTTTTTTTTTTCAAATAAATGTTCAATTTCTTGATCTCCTTCTGGAACCCCTATGATTTAGATATTGGTATGTTTGGAGGTGTTCAAGAGGCACCTTATAGTATCTTTGTTTATTTGAATTATTTTTTTCTTCTTTGTCTCCCCATTTTGGCAGCCTCCCTGTGTTTGTTTCTGTGTGTTAGGTAGAGCTGCTTTGATTCCCTGTCTTAGCAGCATGGCCTGTTGTAGATAAGTTGGGTGGAGCAGAGCCTTAGGTAATCACCAAGTCAGGGCAACCCACGTCACTGCTCTGTGGCTGTGTGTGGGGGAGGGCTCAGAAAGGAGATAGTGCCTCTGCCCGACCTCTGTAGTTTTGTCCAAAAGGAAGCTGTCTCCCGGCACTTGCCCTGGTGCCAGACACTTCAGTTTATCCCCATATGCTACCTGTGCTCTTCTAGCTATTACCCCGGTGCTGAAGCCCAGAGGGAGTAAGTCTGCCTAAGTCCAAGTCTGTCATAGGCCCTTTAAGAGGAGACTCTTGGGAATCCTGCAGTGTCTTCCACCACCCCAACCCCCCATTGGTATTTACAGCCAGAAGTTATGGGGACTTATCTTTCTGGCATTGGCACCCTGGGCTGGGTGGTCTGGTGTGGGGGTGGGATTCCTTACTCCTGAGGTATCCATCCTGATTTTTATCTACCATACATGGGTGTGGTACCACCAGTTCCACCTCTCCACGTGTCTCCGCCCTCTGCCTCTCCTACCCGCCTGGATAAATGTGGCTTCTTTTAGTTCCTTGGTTGTCGGACTTCCACATAGCTCTTATTTTATGACGATTCTGGGTGATACTTGTTTTGTAGTCTAATTGTAATTTTTGCTATGGTTGTGCTAGGAGGTGAGCTTGTTTACCTGTGCCTCCATCTTGACCTTAAGTCCCACTTCTCCTGTACCACAGCTTTTTTATCCACTCGTCTTTTGGGTTGCTTCCGTGGCTTGGCTGTTGTAAATAACGCTGCAGTGAACATAGGGGTGCATATATTCTTTCAAATTAGTATTTTGGGTTCTTTGGATAAATCCCCAGAAGCAGAATTGCTGAATCATAAAGTAGATTTATTTTTAATTTTTTAGAAACCACCCCCCCCAGTACAGTTTTCCATAATTGCTGTACCAATTTGCGATCCACCATTAGTGCATGAGCCTTGCCAGCCCTTGTCATTCGTGGATTTATTGATGGTAGTCATTTTGTCATGTGTGAGGTGATCTCATTGTGATTTTAATTTGCAGAGGGTCTTTTTTCTTGAGGCATCTCTCAGAGGCTTTTGGACCATTAGAGTGTCCAGGCCCAGGGGGCTAGATCTTTGAGTGCTCCTTGGGACAAGGGATGGGGCATGGTTCTGGACCTGCCTGGAAACCAGCTAGGGGACAGCTGTCCAGCTGTCTCATCCCGATGAGACCAAGCTGGCCAGGATCTGGAGTCTCTCAGCACTCAGTGTGGCTCGGGTTGGGTGGTTATTTACCACTGGCAGAACTCTTTATATCTTAAAAAAAAGAGATTTGTAAAGGATATTTGATACAAGGCTGTCAGCCAGAATACACAAAGAACTCTTAAAATTCAACAATAAAAAAACAAAGACCATGGATTTTATATTATATTTATTTATTTTTAGAGAGAGGGGAAGGGAGGGAGAAATAGAGGGAGAGAAACATCAATGTGAGAGAGAAGTATTGATTGATTGCCTCTCATATACACCCCAGTCGAGGGCTACAACTTGAGTGGAATCAAACCTATGACCCTTTACTTTGTGGATGACGCCCAAACAACTGAGCCACACCAATCAGGGTGTAAAACCCTGATTTTTAAAAAAGATTTTATTTATTTATTTTTAGAGAGGGAAGGGAGGGAGAAAGGGAGAGAAACATCAATGTGAGGTTGCTGGGGGTCATGGCCTGCAACCCAGGCATGTGCCCTGACGGGGAATCGAACCTGCGATGCTTCGGTTCGTAGCCCGCGCTCAATCCACTGAGCTACGCCAGCCAGGGCTAAAACCCTGATTTTTAAATAGGAAAAAAAAAAAAATCCAAACAGACATCTTACCAAAGAAGATGTACAGGTGGCATATAAACATTTGACTAGAAATTAAACATCATGTCATCAGGGAACAACAATGAGATACCACTACACACCTCTTAGGAAGGGCAAAACTCAGCCCTGGCTGCTGTGGCTTGTTTGGTTGGAACGTTGTCCCGTAACGTAAAGCTTGTGGGTTCAATCCCCAGTCCAGGCGCTTATGATACTGGCCCTTAGAGGAGGCAACCAGTCAATGTGTCTCTCCCCCTTCCTCTCTCTCTAAAAGCAATGAAAAAAATGTCCTCAGTTAGGGATTTGAAAAGAAGAAGAGGAAGGGAGATAACCTAAAACACTAACACCACCAAATGATGGGAGGATGTGTCAATGAGCAACTTTCATTGCTGGTGGGAATGTAAAGTGGTGCAGCTACTTGGGGAGACAGTTGGCAATATCTTACAAAAATAAACATACTCTTACTCTGTGATCCAGAAGTCACGTTCTTTGTATTTACCCCAAAGGAGTTGAAAGCTTATGTCCACATAAATACCTATCTGTGGATATTTATAGGTGCTTTTTCTGTAATGGCCCAAAACTGAAAGCAACCAAGATAACTTTGAGTAGGTGAAAAGACATGGAGTAACCTTAATGCAATAAGCTAAATAAAAGAAGCCACCCTGAAAAAGTTACATACTGTATGATTCCAGTTTTAGTGTGTGATACCTTACAAAACCCGTATGTATAGCATCAACAGTGAATCCTAACGTAAATTACAGGCCTGGGTGATAGCCATGTGTTACTGTGGGTTGATCGATCGTAACAAATACACCACGCCGTTGCAAGATGTTGATAGTGGGGGAGACTGTATATGTGCAGGCCAGGGCAGTTTTGCTGTGAAACTAAAATTACTCTTAAAAACAAAGTCTGTTAAAGAAGATGAACCAGAACATCAGTCTCAGACCTTTTCACAGCTTAGCAGACATCTTGCTCTAGAAGTACTGATTGGTTGTTGGTTGCCCTAAAAGTGACAAGGCTTCAGTGCATATAGCACTTGGAAATAAATTACTTTTCAAGTAAATTGAACGTTCCTGTCTCAGCTGCAGATTGGTTTACCATGATGTGTTCATAGTGATCTCCTCTCTTTTCCTGCAGGACAACCCTCCATATGATAAGGGGGCCTTCAGAATCGAAATCAACTTTCCAGCAGAGTACCCATTCAAACCACCGAAGATCACATTTAAAACAAAGATCTATCACCCCAACATTGATGAAAAGGGGCAGGTCTGTCTGCCAGTAATTAGTGCTGAAAACTGGAAGCCAGCAACCAAAACCGACCAAGGTATGACATGTTCCTGTGTCCTCCTCTGACGGTGCTCTTCTGGGGATGCTGCTGTGGGTCAGGAATTCCTCGGTGCCTTCTAATACCATGTCACACACAGTCCAGAGACACCTTACCAGCTCCAGTACACACTCAAGTACAGCTGAGGTCCCACCAGTCCTGTGGGCATGGCACATCTCTGCCAAACTGTTGACCTGCACAGCTATTCAAGGAGACCTTACCTGTGCTCACAGCCCACTGGGGACATATGTAGGCAGACCAGCCCAGTACTTGCTGCCTGTGCAGTGGGGGATGTTGGCACAGCCTACAGTAGTTTTCATGAAGGATTTTGGGGTTGCCTCAAGGGGGAGTGGTGTTTAAGGTTCCTCACTCAGCAGTTAGCATGTGTACTCAGACATGAAGGGAGAAGAGAGGTTGGAGAAGGCCTTCCAGACTAAAAGAAAAGCACAAGCCAAATCTATTTTGTGGACATCAGCAGAAAGCCAGTAGCTCAGAGTGGGTGGTGTCGGGGCGGGGGTACAGTCAGACTCAAGGGCTGTGCCCAAATGAAAGTTTGGTTGGCTTTAGTGGGCCTGGAACTCCTGGGAGTTGCCTGGTGTGTCCACGTGTCTGGGTGTCTCGGTGTAAACATGTACATGCTCATTTAGTGGTGGTGGGGCACTTAATTTTAATACTGTTGTTGGCCTCCCTCTTGTCCTGTATAATTTACTAGATTTTTCTAGTTTGTTTTTTCTTTTAAGATTCCCTCCCCCCTTTTTTTAAAAAGACAGAGGGGATAGAAGGGAGAAAGAGAGGGAGAGAAACATCGATTGGTTGCCTCTTGCACACCCCCAGTTGGGGACTTGGCCTGTAACTCAGGCATGTGCCCTGACTGGGAATTGAACCGGTGACCTTTAAGTTCACAGGCTGGTAATCAGTCCACTGAGAGACACCAGCCAGAACTGATTTTGTATAGTTTTTATTTCCTAATTCCAGGACTTTCTTTTGAAGTTCTCATAGCTCATATTTTGGGTGGCTTTCTTATAAGTAACCAGCCGAAACACTATAAGGTCTTTCTATTTTATTTTATTTTATTTTATTTTATTTTATTTTACTTTATTTTATTTATTTATTTTAAGGATTTTACTTATTTTTAGAGAGGGAAGGGAGAGAGAGAGAGAGAGAGAGAGAGACAGAGAGAGAGACAGAGAAACATCAATGTGCAAGTTGCTGGGGGCCATGGCCTGCAACCCAGGCATGTGCTCTGACTGGGAATCGAACCTGTGATGCTTTGGTTTGCAGCCCGCGCTCAATCCACTGAGCTACGCCAGCCAGGGCTTATTTTATTTTATTTTTTATTTAATCTTTGTTATAATTTTTTCCATTACCATTTAGTCCCCTTATACCCCTCTCCCCCATAAGGTCTTTTTAGATTAAAGATAGTGGTTAAGGCTGGACTTTGCGAGGCGGCAGGTGAATGATGTAAATGGTCGGGGGCATTTTTTGTTTGTTTGTTTTTTTTAGATTCTATTCATTTATTTTTAGAGAGGGAAGGGGGGGAGAGAGAGAGAGAGAAGGGAGAAAGAGAGAGAGAGAGAAACATCATTGTGCAGCTGCTGGGGGCCATGGCCCGCAACTCTGGCATGTGCCCTGACTGGGAATCGAACCTGTGATGCCTGGTTCCCAGCCCATGCTCAATCCACTGAGCTACACCAGTCAGGGCTAAATGGTTGTTTTTCATCAGAACCCCTGGAAGATGGAGTTGAAAGGCTTTCACATCGAATGTTCAGCCTCAGGCTCAACACAGCTGAGTAATAGAAAGGAGTCGGTACCAAATGCTGAGTCAAAATAGAAAGATTTCCAGTGAACTCGGCACTTGGTCATGTACAAGTTTGTGTTTACAGAAGCTTCACAGAGTTTCTTTTTTTGGGGGGGTTTGTTTGTTTGTTTTTAGAGAAGGAAGAAGGGAAAGAGAAACATCAATCTCTTTTTTATTTATTTATTTATTTATTTATTTATTTATTTATTTATTTATTTAGAGAGGGAAGGGAGGGAGATACAGAGAGCAAGAGAGAAACATCAATGTGCAGTTGCTGGGGGTTATGGCCTACAACCCAGGCATGTACCCTGGCTGGGAATCGACCCTGGGACACTTTGGTTCCCAGCCCGAGCTCAGTCCACTGAGCTACACCAGCCAGGGCGAGAAACATCAATCTCTTGGTCCACTTATTTATGCATTCATTGGTTGATTCTTATATGTGCCCTGTCGGGGGATCAGATCCCCAACTTTGGCATATTGGGACAACACTCTAACTGAACTACCTAGCCCGGATCGACAAAGTGCACATGCTGAATTTTGTTTTTTCTTATACAGATTTGTAGCTCTGTGTTTGGGAATGCCTTGTCAGCCCCTCACACAACTCCAGGAGCGCTTGCCAAGCTGTGTGTATTGAACACTGTGTCTGGGGAGGGGAGTCCTTCCAGGCTAGGCTGGCAGACCCCTCCTCAGACTGCCAGGCCACAGAGGTTACAGGGGCTCCGTCCTTCCAGAGGACTGGGGCGGTGAGGGGGAGGGAGGTGGACTGCACAGGATGTGTTGTAACATGACCGGGTGTGAAGGAGTTTATTTTTTGGTATGTGAATTATACCTCAATTTAAAAAAAGAAAGTAGAAAAGCATTAAAAATCAATTAAAGCCCTGACTGGTATGGTTCAGTGGATTGAGCTCCGGCCTGCAAACTAAAGGGTCACGGGTTCACCTCCCAGTCAGGGCACATGCCTGGGTTGCCAGCCAGGTCCCCAGTAGTGGGCACTCAAGAGGCAACCACACACTGATGTTTTTCTCCCTCTCTTTCTCCCTTCTTCCCTCTCTAAAAATAAGTAAATAAAATATTTTTTAAAAGTCAACTAAAAATAGCATGAAAAGTCAAGAAACAAGGCAAAATTATATCAAACAGAAAGGTCATAGGAGTTGGCAATAATAATACCAGAAGAATATGATGACAAAGTTTTGTTCAGCCATGTGTCTGGTTCTAGCAGATATTTAGCAGCAGAGCTAGATCTTAGTTTTGTGGTTTAATGGGATTTGTCATATAAAATACAGCCAGTAACAAAGCCAGCATACCGATTCTATATGTATTAAACAATATAATGTAACAACAAAATTATATGGAGAAAAATAAAAATTATCCCTCAGATACTATTATACCAGATCAAGTAGATGAAATTTATTGAAAGGACTCAAGAGGGAAACATTAGTTTCACATTTTTATAATGCCTTCCATGGAAGCCACCATTCCCATTGTGCTCTGAGAGAGTGGAGTGCCCTGGGCCTATGTGAAAAGGGGGAAATTGCAGACAGTGTTAACATCCTCAATTACAAAAAACGGTCAAGGAGAACAAGAATGAGGAAATTTTGTAGGCTTCATTCTCTGACCATATACAGAGTGGGGCAAAAGTTAGGTATACAGTTCATATGGAAAATAATACAGTAATAAATAATACAAGAATAATCTGTGTTTTACACACAACTGTAAACCTACTTTTGTACAATGAGAGAATAGGAAGTAAATTTTGACTGTATTTTATCCCCTATTTTTTTTTGGAGATAAACAGTACTTCCGGGGAACATTTGGGTCAAGAAACCAGAGTCAGACATTTATCAGATAAAATGAGTATGCCGCTCTCTGTATGAGAACTGAGGGGACGGGGCTGTAGTTGCAGCTTGGCAAGCACTTACAGCTCTCAGTGTTCGCACCGTTGAAACAAACCAAGCTCAAAAAAAAAGAAAAAAAAAAACAACGAAGCTCAGTTGGGTTGTATTATAGTTTAGCTGAGGAGATAGAAATGCACCCAAAGGAACAGAAAAAGAATGAAGTACTCATCAGAATTACTAAATAAATTTGAAAATATTTAAACTTGATCAAATAAGTAAAAGCAAGTTCTCAGGAAAGAATTAAATGAACAAATAGCAAACTCGCAAAGTGAATGTCTTTTTAAAGACATGTCTTAACAATTATCAAATGGTTTTATACTAATACATTGGGTCTTAAGATCTCCATAGTAAGAAGCCAAAAGCCTGAGTATGCGTAACAGAGAGTGAGCAGGAAAACTTGAAAACTCATCAGGGCCCCCCCCCCACATCTGCCCCAAAGCATTCAGTCCTGTGGGGGTCCTGAAATGCTAATGAGGTAGCAGTTCTGCTACAGAACCATTTCTCATCTTGGGAAAAGATTAGAAGCCACCTATTTATGCTCTCCAACCCAAACTCATAAAGAGTAAAGATGTTTGCCAGAGGATGTATTCAAGCTCCTTACAGTTTGCAAACTGGAACACAGCTGGGCAAAATACAGAAGTGTTTCGAAGGAGAGTGAAAAGCTAGGGGTTCTTAGAGTAAAGAGTTCGTTTCCGAGAAGAATCAGTCCTGCATCTTAGGGTCAAGATTGGTCCAAAAAGGTGATCTTTAGATGCCCGATGCACTGGACAGTGGAACAGCTTCTTCTCGAAGTTATTTGGAATGTCACCTGAAGGTTTGATGTACCTCCGGGCGTTGGCACAGCGATTGATGGGCATCCAGGTATTGGCATAAGTGCAGAGCATTAAGATTGGTTAAGGCGAACCTCATACCTCAGCATAATTTATTTTAATAATTTAGCAATGTGAACACAGTGACTCCATTTTACTTTTTCACTCTGTTCTTCAAAGCTATAAGTAGCATGTAAGGAAAATGGAGCAGTCTTGCGTCTGAACAAGGAGTGGAGAATCATGGCATGCACTAAAACACAGCACGGCCAGGCAGCTGAGGGCATTGTGTTAGAGACGCTGTGAAGATGCCGCTGGGAAGAGTGTTCAGGTGTGGTCTCTTCCCCAGGCTGGGCAAGAGGAGGCCTTGGGTGCTTGTTGTAATGTTCATTTGAGACCATCCAACCAGGGATGCCTTATCCTTCTGTTGATGCTTGCCTTGTATTTGTAGCAAGTAAAAGTTGTTTTCCAGTTGAGTTACTAATGTTTACGTTCCTTTAAAACATATACTAAAAAGTGAAAATCTCAAAAATATATTAAGTATGTTATCGTTTTGGCTATATGTGGATATATGGCAAACAGTGGAATACCAGTGGTTGAAGTTGAGAAAATGGGAATAAGCAAAATAGCTTTATCATCGTTTCTTCTCAGGTGTGTGGGGATCAAATATAGGAGGGATACATTTTGTACTAAAAGAGACAAAAATACTTCCATGGTGTGCTTTCTCTTAGAGATAATGCAGATGGCATGCTAAGGGAGGCGGTAATGTCCGCCCCTGGGGTCAGCAGAGAGAGTGCGGACGGCCCCGGCCTGCAGAGGCACTTCCAGGCCTTTCACCCTGCTTGCTGCTCGCAGTCCACCCTCCTTGCCCAGCCATCCTTCCTCCCTACTCAGCCCTGTGGAGCCACCCTTCCTTGCTCTTACCCCATTGCCTCACCTGTGCCCACTGTGGTCACAGGAACCCTTGATTGCCTCTGTCTTGCCTGGTAGCATCAGTGGGCCGGGTGGGTGGCACGTGATGTTTGGCCACCTGGATAGGAGCACTTTGTGCTGTCCCCCTCAGTCAGCATGGTGCTGTTGACTGGCTCTGTCTTTGTCCATGACTGAGCCAAACTAGCATTTGAATCCATTCCTCATAGTGCTGGCCTGGAAAACATGGGTCCCTGATAAAGGAATCCATGATATTGGCCTTTTTGCTAGGAATGTGCCAGTGGGAAGGAGTGCAGCATTCTAGAGGTACTGGTCCTGGTGGGGCCAGGGGATAAGAGGAAGTGTGCATGAGAAGGTATGTTGGCTGCATGCACCCCACTTCTGAGGGGGCCTGGCACTCCGGGACCTTCCCTACTTCTTCACTCTCCCTCCAGCACCTTCAGTTCCCTCACAGTTCTTCTGTCCCGGGGCTCGCCTTTCAGTACATCTAGGGCTCACTGCTCTTTGGAGGATCATTGTAGAACCCACCCCAAGTCATCGGTGTAATTTGGTGTGACCTCTGCCTCTGGAGTGGACAGTGTGTTGCCACTGGGGGTGTTGAACTCCCAGTGGTCAGACAAGGTGGTCAGATGAACCTTTCTCAGCTGGTTCAGAAGCTCCTCGGGGTCTTCCAGGGTGGACTAACTGCACTTACATGGCACAGGCCTGTCATGCATCCTTCATTCTCATACTCGTTGAAACGATCTTGAACTGAGCACAATTCTAAAACACACCACTCAGCCCTTGCCCTGGGGAAGCTTTGTGCACGCATGCATGAGAGAGAAGAGAGACTGTGTGTGTCAGGCCCGACGTCTCCAAAGTTCGGGAGTGGAGGGGAGTGACTGGGGCCTGGGGCTCCCCCCGGTTGTTAGTTCCAGAAGGTCCCCAGAGGAGGGGGAAGAGACATCAGTCTGAACAGTTATCCACCGTTGACTGTTTGTTGTCTGTCCCCTTCTCCTAATTATAATTGCTGCTGGTTGAAATTTTGGATACATTGGAGGCCGCTTTGTCTTAGGAGCACATAACTGTAAATCAGTGTTAGAGTCCGGTGCCTGTCTTGCCTGGGCGCTTTCTGAGACTACTGTAACCAGCAACACCTTCTCCTTTTCTTGGCAGTAATCCAGTCCCTCATAGCACTGGTGAACGACCCCCAGCCCGAGCACCCTCTTCGGGCTGACCTAGCTGAAGAATACTCTAAGGACCGTAAAAAATTCTGTAAGAACGCTGAAGAGTTTACAAAGAAATATGGGGAAAAGCGACCTGTGGACTAAAATCTGCCGCGATTGACCCCAGCGAGTGTGAGCAGAGACCCGAGCAGTGCATTCAGACACCTCGCAAAGCAGGACTCTGTGGGAAATTGACATGTGCCACCGCCTGGCGTCCGCTTGTGGCAGTTACTAACTTTCTACAGTTTTCTTAATCAAAAGTGATATAGGTAACCTGTAAAGAAAGGATTAAAAATTTAAGATGTTCTAGTTCTGCTCTCTTTGTTTTAAAAATCACTGCTTCAATCTACTCTAAAAGAATGGTGTTTCTTTTCTTGGTCCAAATTTATCCAGAATCTTCGATTTACATTTAGACCATAAGATTTAACATAAAACGTTGTGGTTCCCTTTCTGCCCCTGCCCTTTCAACTCTCACTTTCTTGCATTCAGTTTGTTTCCTTTACTCACTCACTCCCCAGACTCAGGACCTGTCTCCTCCACAAAGGGGAGAGGCAGCTCTGTCCAGTCTGGTGGCTTCTCTCCTCCCATGTTGCGCTGCCCAGTGTGGGAGTTTGTTCAAATTCTACTGGTTCCAGTTTATAACATCCTTTTTTAAAAATTTAAAAACAAGCAACCTATCACCACCATCCCCCAAAAAAAAGCTGTGAAAAGGGAGGCCCAGCTCTTATGTAAAAACCTGGCCAATGTTGCCACAATAACATGGATTAAATGGCAACCCATGTGTGTGTGTGTGACTGAACTCTAGCCTGGCCCGGCTTGCCTGGAAAAACCCTACAACATCAGGCCCGCCGCCCGCTGCCACCCCAGGGGAGGGCCTGCCAGCCAGAGGACACTGCACTTGTGTGAGGGATTCCTCATCAGAGAGGCTCCTGAGGTCGAAGGTTGGCACTCCTCCCTGCATCCATTTTAGAAGACGTGTTGGTCATTGCAGACAACGCTGAAGCCAGAATGTCATTTGAAATCCCATGGTCACCTGTCAGCAAGCTCCATCCAAACGTGCCACAGAGCTCACTCTCCAACTCCTCAGTGCAGCAGCCCCACCTCGGCCCGCCCTCAGCACAGCTGGACTCCGCGGGGTTGGAACTGGCAGGACTCGGCTGTAGCCAGCACCAGTCTGGGGTCCCTGGAGCCCCACTGGCCTCCTTCAGAGCAGCGGGCAGGGCCAGCCCCGCCCAGCCCAGGAACAGGACGGCCTTCCCTCTCTCTCCGGACTCACAGCCTTTGCAGAGTCAAGCTCCACTTGAAGCTCACTCAGTAATATCCTTTACATGTGTTTTATATTGTTTTGACTGCCTTTTTTTTGTAGAAATAAAATTGACCTTAGAATTTATCCTCAGATGAACTTGTCAGGATTTGAATGTTAATGTCTTTTTCAAAGGAAGTGGGATTGTCCCTGAAATAGTGGAGAATACAAGTCACTGACACCCAGAGGGAGTCACCAGCTCCACTTCGGCCACTGGTGGCTTCGCTTCTTGGCTCTCCAGGGTACTAGATTCAGTGGAAAAAAGACTAAAACTTTGCTCTGTTTTAATTTTAGTTCTAAAACTTGGGCTCTTTCCAGGGCTTATGACCTGTAAGACAGCTTGGTTTTACTGTGCAGAAACGGGAGCGACAGGTAGGTTCGGCAGCATAACGCTGTTCAGTCGTCCGGGTTTGTGGCCCTTGCAGTGTGTCAGTGAATTCAGCTTCTTTAGTCCTACATACTCATGGGACAGGTTCTGGAGACTCCTGTACATCCGGAGAGCGGGGTCAGCATTTCCACATGTCTTCATTAGCAGAAAGGTGATGATGGACTTGATTTCACTCACACACAGATTTGTAATAAAATGCCAAATTCTGTCAGAAGCTGTCCATATAAGCCACCATCATTGCTTCTCTGAATCCAGAATTATTGCTGTTCTTGGAAACTGTCCCACTGCTTCGTGTTTCTACCAGCATAGTTCTGCCTGCCTGTCGCCCCTCACTTCTCTGTTCACCGCCGGAGGTACGTTTGTCAAACTGGCAGCCCTTCAGGGTACTCTCAGCCCTGGCATTGCACTCCACCGTTTGCCCCGGTCAGGACAGGCCTGGCCCTGGGAGAGCAAGGCCGTAGGTGGTCCTTCCCTAAGGCCTGGTGGCTTGCTCCATCCAACCTGAAGCCGTCCGGTGGTCGCCAAGCCCTCAGGGCAGGCTTTGAGCACGCTGGTGCCCCGGCAGCTCCACAGCCAAACAGTCGGGTCCTCTGGGGAAGGGGAGAGCTGTCACCACTGACCTGAGCCCACTCAGGAATTTATTCCTACCTGAACCGAACCAAAATGGGCCAGGTCCTCACCCTCCTCCCTGCCCCCCATGGCAGAGAATAGGCTTTCTAAGATGCTGCGATCCCGTTCTGCTGCCCTTAATAAAAATGCTCTCCAACACTGACTTGGTTGCGTGGGTTTCTTCCTTATTGGCCGTGGCAGTGCCAGGGGCCTGTGCTCTCAGAGGTGGGGTGGGGGGTGGCTGGGGCCTCTGGTCTCCCACAGTTTCTGCTTCTCTCTCCATATGCCCAGCTGCCGAAAGAGGTGCACAGAGGCCTTCCCCAAGGGGAGCAGAAAAGGCTAGAGTCCAGATTATTGGGGTCTGCAGAGGGACCCTTTGGATGTCTCGGGAGGGGACAGCACCTCTAGGTGTGTGCATCACTTCAGTCCTGTTGGCTCCAGCAGAGTGGTATTGTCCACATTTAGCAGAGGAGCAAGTTGGCTGGTCCCAGAACTAATGAGGGTGTACCTGAGGGTGGCACTAGGCCCTTTTCTGGAAGGGTTCCACCCAGAAACCCCATGAATCCCCAGGATAGTGGGTTGCTGAGGCACTGATTCAGCCCAGAGCCATGACAAGTTCCTTGCCTGTAAATGAAACCAGCAGAGACCAGGCCTGCCCTGTCAGCCAAGTCTGCAGGTTTCTGGGAGGGGAAATTTCACCTGGGGTGTCATGTTTATGGAGAAGCAAGGAGCAGGCCTGGGGTACTCTTTCTCCCAGCACTATCCTTTGTAAAGCTCAGGACAGCCCCATGGACATGATTATTCCTATTTTTACAGAGGAGGGAACTGGGCCTCTGTGACAGCAAGGCTACATGGCCTGTGGTTTTACAGTGTTGCTCCTGCTGCATTCCACCGTTGGTCCCTCTGAGCCCAGGCACAGCCACCTTCTACCCCTCCTCGAAGCCAGAGGCCTGCAAGACCATCTGAGCTTCCTGAACCTTGGAGCTGCCATTTTCTTGCCTTTAGTTTTAATTGTTCAGCTTGAAATATGTGCCTATTTCATCACTCCAGTGCCCATTGAAGCCTGGATTCTGTCACCCTCTAGCCCTCTGGGGGCCTCAGGACTTCCTTAGGGTCAGGTCTATAGGCTGGTGGCCTCAGCCTTGTTTTTACTACACTTGGCAGCACCTCCATGCCCCACCCTGCAGGGTAGCCACCTGACCCAGTGGGAAGCAAAACCCCAGAGCTTGTGTGAGTTCTTCCTGCCTCATCCAAATTGGCTTCTCACTTCCTTCATGCAACAAGTGGCAGCTACCTGAGGACCAGAGCTGAAGCTGGAACTTCAGCATAGTGCCTGGCCCAGGCAGTACTTGGTAACGGTCAATCCTGGGTGATTAGAAGTTGTTGTTTTTTTAAGCTGTCTTGAATGACTTTTTAAAAAGACTTTATTTATTTATTTATTTATTTATTTATTTATTTATTTATTTATTTATTTATTTTTAGACAGTAGGGGAAGAGAAGGAGAGAAACAATGTGTGGTTGCCTCTTTCATGCCCCACACTGGGAACCTGGCCTGAAACCCAGACTTGTGCCCTGACCGGGAATCAAACCGGCAACCCTTTGGTTCGCAGGCCGGAGCTCAATCCACTGAGCCTTACCGGCCAGGACTGGAAATGTTTTTGCTTGCAGACTATGCTCCTGGGGGCACCATGTGGTTCTCAAGACAATCAGACTAAACCTGACTACCCAGTACTGCAGAAGCTATAACCAAGGCCCTGGAAAGAGAGTCTAAAACATTGAGGGTCCCTAGCCAGTGCTGGGCCCTCATCTCTGCTCATGCTCTTCTCCCTCCCACAGTTTCATTTAGTGTCTACAGATTCCCAAGCATCCCTCCTGCCCACCCACATCTGTCCTGAGCCCGAGAGCCACACAGCCAGCTGCCTCCTCTCAGAACAGCAGAATCCCCCTTGAGGAAGGTGCTCCTGTGCCAGCAGGCTACCTTCAGGTCACCCCCACTAGCTCCAGCCAACAGCCTGCAGGAGTGTGGCCAGACACCAAGGGCTGAGGCAAAGAGGTGAGGGCAGAACAATAGGAGCAACCAAACTCCCAGTGACTCCAGTTTATAGCTGTGAATGAAAGGTAGGAGGAAAGGGGCTGTACCTACGATAGTCTAGGTCTAGGGAAGGTTAAGATGGAAGGTGGAACCAGAAAAGGGGGTTGAAGCCACAATCAAGGATGGGGTCACGGGTGGATGGAGGCAGAAAGGATAGAGATCCCTGCCCCTTGAGACAGCTGAATGGCCATCAAGGCTGCCTAGGCCAGAAGAGGGCTCTGTTGGCACCTGATTCCATGCCTGACAGTGCATGACAAATACACAAACAGATAGCTTCAAAGCCCTGCTCTGCCACTCCCACCACTAGGTCTGTTAAGTGGGGACGTCACTGCCTGCACTTAAGCAGTTTCACATGAGACAAGAGGGATCATGTGGTGTTGCATCTGCCTTTCCATCCCTCAGAACAGGTCTGGACTCCCTGTGCTTCCAAGAACTTCTTTCCCCTTCCCCATCCCCTCCCTCCCTACACCTCCTGATCCAGGCACAGGGCATTCACACATCACCAGATGTGGGTTAGGAATCTGGCATCCTAAATAAATATTGAGATAATATACCTCTCTAAAAATAGCCAGATGAGACATTCTTTTCCCCGTACACTCCCCAAAGAAGAGTAAAACCTAAGCATGAGCAAAACGAGACAGTAGAGCTTGTTTTATATATACCTTTTCTGGAATAGTGACCAGGTTTGCACCCTGAAGTTGTTTTTGTCAGTTTGTGTGTCTGTGAAGGTTTTCCGGGCAATAATAATCTCCCGCCACTAAACATAAACAAAGAAAATGTTTACATGGAAATGTGAAGAGCCCAAAATGCTTGGCAAGCCCCAGGCCAAGATGTCACAGGCTGAATCTCCTGTGGCCAAGAGGGCTTGTGGAAGCTGTGGCTGCACTCTACGAGTCATGAGGACCTGGTCACAGAGGTGGCATCACTCTGCCCAGGGAAGTCAGAGAACCCACTCTAGGGCTTGGTTCTGGGCTGTGCGAAAGCTCAGCTCTTGCCCCCTCCCTTGAGCACTAGGGCATTAGTTCTTGGCTGTCAGCGTCACAGTTGAGAGGACTCCAGGAAGGTTTCCAGAGTGGCTTCGCCAGGGATCCCTTCCCTGGGTCTCTTGGAGTCTAGGTCATGGAGGGCACAGACCTGCACGCCATCCTGGGCAAGCCGGGTCTGCAGTGTGGGTTCAGTGAGGACACGCAGCTCATGCAGCCGCTCCCAAGAGCAGGAAAAGGCATCAGGGCCCTCACCGCATCCTCCAGCTGGTGGCACACTGGGGTAGCCTGGGTGGGTCATCAGCTCGGCTGTCAGGCAGTGACCTGTGGGTGTACCTTCCAGGGCCCGAGCCAGGGCCCCTGACACACGATGAGCCGACATATGCCGGCCGCAGGTGCTCAGGCCCACGAAGATATCGGTCCACCTGTGGATACCCAGGCATCAGAGCAGGGACGGGCAGAACAGCAATGGGCAGGGCTAGGCCGAGGGTGAACGGATCAGAGGTGGAGCCACCGCTGACGGAAGCCTGACTTCCTTCGATTTTGAGAAACAGACTCAGTTGGCCAATTGTGCTGCCAGCAGGATCCACTGGGACCTGGGCCAGGCAGGGAACTGGGCACAACTGTGGGGGAGGGGAGGCTCACCTTAGGCCTCTGCGGGAAAAGGGACCCACGGCTGCCAGGGCGTCACGCTCCACCGTGCAAGCAAAGGCACGCGCCGGCGCCTCGAGCCAAGTACAGCTGCCCAGTCCGCGCTCCAGAGGCAGCCGAGTGAAGAGCACCCCATGGGCCTGCAGTACCTCTGCAAACACCTGGCACACGCCTGCGGTTGGGCGGAGTGCAGTCAGGAAGGAGCACGTCTCCCTGCCTGGGAGCACCTCCCACCTCACCTGGGCACACAGTCCCCTGCCTGGGACCACCAACCTGGGAGCACGTGCACGTGCTGATGCCCGTCCACGTGAGTGGGTTTCCTGCCCAGTAATTCCTGGAAGCGGCACAGCTGGGCCTCCAGCTCTTCCCGCACCTGGAAGGTGAGGGCAATAGGCACCTTAAACGTCCGGAAGCAGCTACTGAAGAGAACCCCTCCCTATGCCAGCGTGTGACTGCTCCAGAGTTGGAATCCGGCAAGCACCCAGCATCCGCTCCCGCCCGATTGCGTCCGGGTACCCTCGGGGCGGAGCCTCGGTGGGAGGGGTCCTCCTCCAGCAGCAGCGCTTCCGCACCTGGGACAGGGCCACATCTCCGGCCGCTACGGCCTCCCGAAATCCCATCTTGCCCAGGAAGAAGCCTTCGGGCCCGAGCAGCGAGGAGGCGCCACGGCGAGCCGGGCCCACGGGGCGGCCCTCGGACAGGTTGGCGTGGAGTCCGATGGGGATTTTGTGCCTGAGGGTGGAAAGCGAGCGGAGTACTGGTGGCTGCGCAGCGGCGATGACCAAAGCCCTCCCTGACTCTCTGTAGGGGGCTACTCCTCACCTGCGGGCCAGTTCCGCAGCGCTCTCAGCCGCCGCGCCGTTGACCAGTAGGGACACGCTGGTCACAGCCCCGGATAGGAAGGCCTCTACGATGCCCTCATCCCGCCGCGGGCAGTAACCAAAGTCGTCCGCGGTGACCACCAGCTGCACGCGCGGCCAAGACATCCTTTCCCTCCGCCTGCGGCAGGAACGTGAGGGGAGTGGACTAAACAGTCCAGGCCCCGCCCCTATGCACTCACACACGACGCGCCTGCACTTCACCTTTGTTCTTGCCACCTAGCGGTCCCGCCGTGGCCCTGCAACGACCTCCCACCTCCACCCAGTGTGCTGTATCCAATCTAAGTAGACCACTGCTACATTTAATGCAATGCAAAACTTTCAGTGACTGCAAAAATGACACTAAATATGAAAAATACAGGAAAGATAACCTGAAGCAAGATAACCTGAAGCAGAGATTAGTGCTGTTAACTTTCTGGGTATCGTGTCCTTCCAGTATTTTCACTAAGCAAACAGACACATCCAATTCCTCTTCTCTCCCACCCCCAAATTTTGAGAAATAATGATTGAATCGGTATTATCTCGTTCTTGTGTTGTTTCATTTTTTTATAGTGACTATGAGCTTTTTCATGTTTTTATTAGTTTTTTTTGTCCTCCCCCAAGGACATTTTTTTTTTTAAATTACTTTTAGAGAAAGAGGAAGGGAGAGACAGAAACATTGATTGGTTGCCTTCCATATGCACCTGGACTGGGGATTGAACCGTCCACACAGGCATGTGCAGTGGCCCAAATCAAACCCTCAAACTTTTGGCTACCAGAGGATGCTCTAACCAACTGAACCACACTGGTCAGGGTTTTATTAGCCCTTTATGTTCCTTTTTCAAATTGCCCATTTGTCTTTTACTGATTTTTCTTTCTTTTTAATTTGTTAAAAGATGTTATTTAATTTTAGAAAGAGGGGAAGGGAGAGAGAGAGGGAGAGAAACATCAATGTGTGGTTGCCGCTCATGTACCCTACTGGAGACCAGGCCCACAACCCAGGCATGTGCTCTAATTGGGAATTGAGTTCTTGACCCTTTGGTTCATAGGTGGGCACTCAATCCACTAAGCCAGGCCAGCCAGGGCTGTCTTTTATTGCTTTTTCTAAGAGGAGTCTTTTTTTGTGGTTTGTAAAAGCTCTAAACAATAAGAAAATGAAAGAAAACATGTAATACCAATCGCTTCATTTGCAAAAGCACTAACCCCTGCTTTGGTCTCTTAAGTTTTACATTCAGAGACTCCTTCTTTTCTCTGTAGGCCGGAGAAGCTTTCCCTACCCATGACTATATGAATAGTCACGTGGTTGACATGATGTAGCTGTCTTGATTTTCCCAAGGGACATGCAGTATTTGTGTGCAGCCTACGACATCAGTGATGTCATTTCTGTTTACCAATCTGTTTTACAGATGAAAAAACTAAGCTAGAGAAGGGAAGTTTCTTGCCCAAAGTGACCCTGCCAGGAGTAGTGGAGCTGGGACTAGATCTGAAGTTCTGAGGCTGCATGTGGTTCTGCTCTGGTCCTTTAGGCCCTGGCTGCCCCCTAGGTCAGGGGCAGAGATGACAAAGCCAAGCTTGAGAATAACAAATAATCACCACTCCCATGAGGTCGGTGTAAGAATTGGAGGCCTCAAAGAGTTCCCCAAGCTCTTGGCATAAGAACTGTTGTGTTCAAACATGATTGTTACATCATCGGGCTTCAATCAAATATCATTCTCCTCTAGGAAGCTGATCCTGGAAAGGCCAAAGGTCCTTCATGTCTGAAGAATGGAAGGAGAAAGTTGACATTTATTGAGTATCTATTCTAATACTACTAGTGTTATTAGAAATATTAGAAATTAGGGGTGAGCGCCTCAGTCCCCCCAAGGAGCTCCATCTGGTGGACAAACAAGTAACAACAAGCATGTGGCAGAATCTGGGATGGGGTTTGTGGTAATTCCGTATGCGAAGGAGGGACGAAACTTTTGGGAAGGCTTCTCTGAAGACATGGCACCTGGGAGGAGGGCTGCATGAGGGGTTTACCGGGCAGAGGGGGAGAGGACATAAAGATATTCCAGGACATTGTGGGATGCTGGTGTGTGGTATGAAAATGTAATCTTTATACTTCCATGTGGAAGGAGTTTCAGCTCCATTTATAGAGGAGGAGTAGAGGATTAGAGAGGTTGGTTCACACAGGAGGGGAATAGAAGAGGTAGGAATTTAAGCTAGGTCTGTGGCTTAGAGCGGGGACTCTTTCCACTGAGCTCAGGGAGAATGCAGAATGGGGAGGGCTCCAGAGAGCCCCTGGGGTTGTCCACATTGGGTGAGGGGAGGATACTGGAAAGAAGACAGAAAGCAAGAGGCCCAGGACAACGCAGGGACCAGAGAGAAGCTGAAGAAGGTGCCTGTGTCTCTAGAGGAGACTGGTTTTGTTTCTTAGGCCCCCCGTCAGGGCAGATGTGGAGCGAGGATCAGAGCCTCTTCCTCTGGCCTCTGAGTGTTGTGAGGCCAGGAAAAATGGGGGAGGAGCCAATTGGGCCCCGCCCACTGCCTTTGTGTCGGGGAGCGCTAGAGAATGAGCTCCTGTTGAGAGCCAATAAGGGCGCCCCATGCAAATAAGCATGCCAGGAGGACTTGGGGCGTGGATCGCACTGGCTGGCACCGAGTGATGTGCAGACTCTGGTGAGCGGATGAGCTCTGGGCCTGGGACAGATGCCAGGACGACTGGGGTCTGCTTGGAAAGGGAGAGAGTCTGAGAGGGTCAGAGACAGGATGCAGACGTCCTCAGGGACCTCACCCCTACAACTCTAGACAAGGATGTGTGGGTAGACGTCCAGAGGACTCCGAGCAGAAAAAGGGTCAGCCACATGAAGCATATGGGATGGGGGGAGCAAAGAGCCTGGGGACCCCTGGGCCACTGGCACAGTGTCCAACAGGCAGACGGAGAGTTGAACACTGGGGGAATTCTCACTCCATATCCCCGCCCGGCGCAGAGAGGAATCCGCAGCTGCACGCAGAACTGAAGAGAGAGGAGGCAGGCAGCGGACCCTGGGTACCCACATCATGACCAGCTATCGCCACCACTCAGGATACCTGGCGGACGATGAGGCCGGCCACACTCCATACCTGGCCCGGGTATGTGTCCAACAGAGCCTGTCTCTGGGGCCTGACCAACCTCATCTTGTTCCTCACCAGCTCTGGTGCCCCTGCTCATAACCATCCCTTTCTTCTTTTTTTCCTTTCCTTCCCTTCCCTTCCCTTCCCTTCCCTTCCCTTCCCTTCCCTTCCCTTCCCTTCCCTTCCCTTCCCTTCCCTTCCCTTCCCTTCCCTTCCCTTCCCTTCCCTTCCCTTCCCTTCCCTTCCCTTCCCTTCCCTTCCCTTCCTTTCCTTTCCTCTTTTCTTTTTTTCTTTTCTTTTCTTTTCTTTTCTTTTCTTTCCTTTTCTTTTCTTTTCTTTTCTTTTCTGTTCTTTTCTTTCTAACATCACTTTCTCATTCACTATTGACTTCCTCTCTGGGCCTCTTACTGATGTCCTTATCTCTTGACTACTGCTCTGACCCCCTGCTGGGCCCTAGACACCCTCAATTTCATCTAGTGTCCCCTGACTTCCAAGTGGCCCGGGAGGGGCTTAATGGACTGGGCTCCCAAGTGGGATCATGGAGTCTACTCAGGGCTCAGGACTCGAGTCACAGAAGTGGCAGTGGAGCGTGCAGGGCTCAGGATCACAGGTGGTCTGCGCAACCCAGCAGCGCAGCAGTCCTGGCCTGCTCTCCAGGTAGATGAGGAGCCCAAGTAGGATCCAGAGCGGTTTTGTGACTCCTACTCATATTCTGTGTGAGAACAGAAAATAGGCTTTCAGGCTCTCAGGCCAATGCTTGTGTATGTGAAATGTACGTATCAGGGAAGCTTCAGAGCAACCCTAAGTGGACTCCCCCTCTGCAAACCAGGAAACTGGACCACAGGATGGGCCATCGTGCCCACAGTCACAGGGGTGTCAGAGCCAGGGTCCAAGTTCAGGGCTGACTGACTCCAAAACACATTTCCTTCCACCTCGCACTCCCTGCCCAGCTCCTGGTGCTTTAGGAGGACCCCAGGGGTTCCATCCTCTTCTGGGGCATTCCTGCCTACTGTAACATCCCTGTCTTCTCAGGTGCCGCCACCTAAGAAGCCAGCATTCCCCAAAATGGGGCAGACCTCCAGGCTGGGCCACATGCCACACCCACCATCGATGTATGGCCCCTCAGGTAGTTCAGGGCCTCGCAGCCACCGTCAAAAGTTGAGGGGCCCTCGGCCCTTTGGTAGTTTCCTGGATTTCCTTGTTGAGGGCCAGGTGTTGGACAGCCTGCAAAGGGTGGTGGAAGAGGCAGCTGAGCGCATGGCCACCATGAAGACAAAGACTGGGGTGCCACTGGTGGAGGTGCAGGACCCAGTGGAGGTGCCAAGGGGTGGGCGGCGGGTGCGTTCCCGGCCCAGCCACAGCACTGTGCATCGGCACCGAGTCAAGCCCAGCCTCTGCACTGGGCACCCCAACAACTACCCATCCTGCTCCAGTTCCATGTCTGACTCACACAGCAGCATCACAGCTGGCTGTTTGGGCTCCCACAGCCAGGGCAGCAACCTGAGCTGCCATGGCGTGGGCCCACTGCCACCCTTGAGGGACAGACTTTTGCAGGAGAAGAGTCTCAAACGGCTGCTGCGGCTGGAGAACAGAGGGGTGAGCTGTGGGGCCATGGCCTGGGGGTGGGTAGGACGGAGTCCACCCCAGAGTCCGGATTCAGGCCTGGCTTGGCTGTTCCTGGACACCTCTGAGAATCCTCCCTCTCTCTTCAGAAAAGCCTGGGGCAGTCCTGCTCCCAGGGGGACTCTCTGCTGTGGGACTCGCTGGGCTCAAGTTCGGGCATTCTCGCAGCATCAGAGCTGGGTCCTGGAGAGAAAGAGCCAGTCTTCCTCCAGAGAGAGTTCAACAAGGAGGTCACGTCCTTGCTGAGCCAGCCGGAGTCCTTCAACTTGCCTGGCTACTCTGCACTCCGTGAGCCCCATCTGACCCTAGACTTCCTGGCCAAGCACCACCTCTTCCCTGCCCTGCAGAGTGTGGTCAACCAGGCTGTGGACAAGCTCAGTGGCTCCCGCCGCCACAACGGCTGCCCTCTCTTCCCATCAGAATGGGAGCCCAGCACAAGGCCCAATTTGGAAACTTCCAAGGAGGCCATACCCATCGAAGGGGAGGAGGAGCCCTATGATTCTCTCCCCACCACAGCCTCCAGCTACAAGATGACTCGAAAAAAGAGCAGCAAGTCTAGAGGACGGGGCAAGCTGAAGGAATGTGATTCTCCTGTGCCTAGTGCCCAAGGGGTCACCAAATTCAGGCTCCAAGTGATACCCACAGAAGAGACCAAGGTCCGCTCACCCCAGCCCAGGCAGGAGGCACCTGACCAGGGTCCCAAAGAGCAGAGACAACCCATGCTCGCTTCTGAGCCCCTGAGCTCCAGCCAAACGGCCCAGCCCTGGCGGAGGCTACACCTCACCCTTCCCGCCCCCGGGATCAAGGTGGAAGTGCCCAGCCAGACCCGCCTCACCCAGGTCGCAAGTCCGCTGGCCTCTCCCTGCCCCGTCTCCTCCCACCAAATCTCTCCGTCCACCGCCTCCCCATGTTCTCGCCACTCACCTCCTTGGAAAGAAGCTTCTCCCCGTCACTCACTTCACTGTCACCACAGACAACATCCTCATGGGTGGGATTTGGGGGGTTAGGGACAGGGATGCAAGAGAAGGGCCCCTTCAGTCACCGTTCTTTGTAGCCACTGTCATTGGCAGGTACCCATAGTTCAGGTCTCTTGCCCTGCACTGTGGAAACCACCTGAGCAAGGGACAAGCTGATGGGGCCCAGGAACCCTGGCCTAGTTACTGCTAGGTCTTATCGAAGATAAATAAAGGCTACTGTTAATTCTGGGTAATTTTTTTTAACACTTGCACGAGAAGCCTGGAGACCCTCCCATGCGGGTAGAGTCCTATCCCTTGCAGACAGCAGCCCGAGCCCAGAGTGTGGCCCGGCGCCCTAGGTCTAGGACCCTCTGACCCTGCTGCCTTGGACAGGACTCCAGTGTATCCAAACAGATGACAGGGAGTTGGCCAGGAAGGGTACAGAAGAGGTGTAGGTGGCTTCACCCTGGTGGAGGTCCAACACAGCCCCTGGACCTCTTCTCACCCAATAAGGCACAGGCACACTTCCCTTCTCTGAACCCTGGGCTGGGCAAGAACCTGCTGGAACCTAGATTGTCCAGGCTCCAGTTTGGCTGACACTGTGACTATAGTTACCAGCCTTGTCCTGGGCCTGACTGGTATGGCCAGTGTGATGATGATAGCGTGGTTAAGTGTGAGGGTTGGCCGACATGCAGAACCTGGGCTCAGCTGTATAGGGGACAGCAGAGCAGATGTATCGAGGCCATACCCTTAGTGGGACGGGCATGGTGTCCACGTGGGTGACATGAAGGGCACTCTGGGTGTGAGGGCCATTGCAGGGCAGGGAGAGTGGCATGACAAGTCTCCCTTTCCCTCCCTGGCTGCTGCACAGACCCCCAATTACGAGTCCATGAAGAAGACGAGACTGCCCTCCATCTCATCCAAGTCCACGGCCCACCTGTCCAACCCCTGCTATGAGGAGCTTGTCAACTATTTGATGGAGCAGGCTGTCTCCTTGCTTGTTTGCAAGTACAAGTTTGAGATGAACCTCGCCAAACAGCTGGGCTTCATCTCCTTTCCCATCACTGAAACGCTCATGGACCTCTTGCTGGGCTTCAAGAAGGTGAAAGGCTCCCACATCTGCCTGTCCTCAGCGGTCGACTGGAGCTGCCTGCTGCGAAAGCTGGAGGAGGCCCAGTGGGACCAGCAGGTGCCCCAGCAGGTGCCTCAGGAGGTGCCCCAGCAGGCATCTCAGAATGACACCTCCCATCTCACTGCCTCCCACAGGAGCACTTCCCAACAGAGCAGAGAATCCTACTCCGCCTTGCCCAAGCCAGGCATTGTCACGGATCAGGAGGTGGCCGAGGGGGAGGACCTCCACACTGAGTTGTTGGTCCCCCAGCTGCTCACCCCTCAGGAGAACAATACGGCTGAGGAGCAGAAGCCCAGGAACCTCTCAGAGCCCAAGCTCTCCATGCCCTACAGTGCTGGTGTGGACTCCAACCCATATGAGCATGTAGTGGCCTCGGAGCAGAGCCAGAACAGTGAGGAGAAGGAGGAAGACAAGCACTAAAAATTTTGGGGTGATGAGAGTGAGACCTAGAGAACCCTCAAGCCTCAAGTGGAGGCAGAGATCAGCCACTCTACAGATGGCCCTGGAGATCCCCCTCAAGTCCCGCTAAGCTGAACCGAGTTCCAGATTTCCTGCTCTTCCTCCCTCCCTCCTGCTTCAGGGAAACACTGCCCACCCTGCCAGCCCCTGTCCTGAGCTGAGGTCAGAATGGGCTAAATGCTCACAAGGAACTCTGCTTAGCCTCTCAAGAGAGCCAACAGGAAAAATAAAGCTTCTGTTGATGGAGCACAGTTTTCTTGTCCGCACTTTGAGCCTCCCTTCCATGCACATGCTTACCTGCCCTTGAGTAGCACCTCCAGTAGGCCAGGTCTGGCTGCAACTGGCCTTCGTGACAGCTGGCAGTCTTCTGGACCCCGTGACCTCACATGCTCTGTTGAACACAAATCCCTGTTCAGGGCTTTTCTCTACTCCTGTCTACTGCATCTTCCTGGCTCTTCAAGCTGTCAGGGCTCATGGTTCCCCTCCATCACAACCCCTGTGCATCATGGCTCCTGCTTCCAGAGGGTGGCTCCTCTGCCAGGGTGGCTCCCTCCTCCCTTTGACATGCCACACCTCACGTTCTGACTGAGGGAACACGCTTTCCTGTTGCTCCCACGGCTACCTGTCTTCCTAGTTTGTATTTCTCACCTCCAACTTCTAAAACTGGAGGTTCCGTGCCAAGCCACATGGGGGCTGCTGGTTGGTCAAGCACAGGATTGGCTGCCCCAGGTTGGTCACATGACTACTGTTTTTTGCAGTTGCCCTGGGCAGGACCACTCTACTCTCTCCAGAAGCATCTGTGGGCATGGCAGGTATCATCTACAAGGTTCTCCAGGGACTTCTGGCATTTCTGTGCCACAGCTCAGCACTCTCCTTCTCTCTGCCTTCCTAAGGGAGTCTGTTTTCTCCCCTGAGAAAACAGACTCCCCCCACCATCCCCCTTTCCCATGGCCGAGAGAACACGTGGAAATGCTCTACACTGACTCACCACATAGAAGATAAGTCTCTCATGCCTTACCCTGGAGCCCACTGGGTGCAGAGAGCCCAAGACTGCTCAGTCCAGCCTGAGCATGCTAAGTGGCCCATGCCTACGGACATGGCAACTCTAGAGTTTCCTCTGGAGCCAGGCAAGGAGGACCTTCCACATAACACCCAGCCCTGAGATTCAGGGTGGAGGACTTGTTCCACTGGAAGTCAGAGGAACCAGAGTCTTAAGGTAGGGGGTCAGGGGCTCATTTTTCTCCACAGAGCATTTTTGGTAAGGATCTTTTAAGGAACATGCTCAGCCCGTAAGACCTACTCCCTGAGGTCACCCGCTGTTACCCCCACCATAGTGTGGGGCCATGACAGCCATTTTCATTCCCTATTGTTGTACCACTTGGCCGTCGTTGCTTGGCCATACTGCCACAACCCTAGTCCCAGCTAAGCCAATCAGGTTCTGTCCCAGGAGCCTGCAATTGGGATGCACAATTGGGTTTAGTTTGCACTGATGGTGTGGGTGGTGAGGAGCAGCCACCTTCCACCCCTCTTCAGAGAAACCAGAAATCCTGGTGGCAGGAGACAGCCAAGAAGGGGAGTCCCAAGATTCTGAGAGACAGCAGCTGCTATGATACCCACCAGCTTCCCAGGCTCCACTGCTAAGTCCTCAAGGGCGGACTGAATACATTCTCACCCCAGCCTCAGAGGCACATGGTACTAGAGACACCTGAGCTTCAGCTCCTGTTGTAGGTGTCTGTTGCCGTGTAAGAAACCACTGAGACTTAAGTGGCTCCAAACCATTTGTCATGATGCTGGGTTTTATTTTATTTTTTATAATCCAGTTCTAGAATGGGGTATTTATTATAAACTCACTCAGTAAAAGAACCAGAGTCCACTTTGTTTATGAGAGACTGCAAAACCCCCAGAACCAGGAAAACCAGTTAGACCACGGTGGCAGATATCTGGATGGGAGGTGGGGTGGCTTGGATTAGGGTGGTGAGGAGGGATGAAGGCGAGATGACGTACAATCTGTTTTGGAGTCACAGTGTTGGGTTAGATGTGAGGGAAAGGGAGGAATCAAAGATGAATCCCAAGTTCTTGGCTTCGGCAAATGGCAACTGGAGGTGCCATTACTGGGTTGTGGAAACCTGGGGGTGGAGGGTGGGGAGGGCATTTTGAGGGAGGAGAGCAGGAATTCTGCTTTGGACACATTACGTTTGAAATGTTTGTTGGTATGTCCAATGGGAGACATCCATTGTTTCCCAGACTGTACCCTAGCCTCTCCACCCTGGACTGGAGGCCCCTCAAATGTAGGGTTTGTCAAATCCAGCAGTTTGGACAGTCTAAGTCCTGGAAAGATCAAGGTGCCCTATCCCATATGTAATTCAAAATAAAAACAGTATTAAACACAAAAACTCCAAAATAGCATGTTGCTGTAATTAAAATGGCTCTGTTCTGAATTTTCTGAATGCAAAATTCTGGATAATTTCATTAACCATGAACTGTTCTCTTGGCTTTGCTGGTGCCCCAAGTGCATGGGTATTCAGCCTGTTGGTTAATGTATCCCAAGCCAGTTCCCGTGTGGCCTCAGCACAGGGCCTGGAGTGAAGTCAATGTAAGAACGTTTCACTAATGGACGGATAAATAGGCATGTAAATTTCCCACCCTTGAAGACAAAACTGACAGCCCTCTGAGAAGACAGTGAGACTGGGACCCGTGCTTGTCACAAACCTGGAACACACAGTCACCGGGTCTTGGTTCCTACCGTCACTCACTTGGTCTACTAAGGCTCTGGTTTCCTAAGACAGTTTTGGGGCTTCCTGGTGAGAACGTACCGTACTGTTATCCTCAATACCGCAGCTCCCTGCTGCCCTCTGCTGCGAACTGGCAATAGTGTAACGAAGGGAGTTGGTAAGAGGTCACGCGAATTCAGAAACCCCAGGGTCTAGGGCCTGAGGTGACCGAATGTCAGGGAGGAAACAATGGCCTAGTGACTAGGGGATTATTTAATCCCAGGGTCTGGGAACTGAATGACCTGAGATCTGTCGACTTTGTGACCACAAAACCTAGTGGTCGAACAACCTCAAGACCCAGCAGCGGCGGACCCAGGGTCTGAGAGGAGCTGTGAGTGAGGGCTCGGGGATCTAGGATGAAGGAGCTTCATGAATAGGGGGTCAGAGGCTGCTGGGTGGGGCAACCTCAACCCACAGTTGTACCCGGGTTGCTCTCCCAAGGCTTGGAGCCGTATCAGCCTCCCTTTGGTTTTCATTGGTGAGTGCTCGGAAGCGTGGACCAATTAAAACCCTCCTCGTGTCTCCAGCCCCCTCCCTAGCGGCAGTCTCGAAAGCTGGGGGAGGGTCCCTTCCGCCGCGACCGAATGGTAGGGCAGGCGGAGCGCCGAGAAGACCGGTGACTGGCTGCCGCGCCGGTCCCTGTCAAAGCCGGATTGGCCGGCTGCGGAGAAGGAAGCGGCTCTAAGGCCCGAGCTGGCGGAGCCGGGCTGGGGCGATGTGGAGCGCGAGCGGTGGACGAGCTGCGGAAGCGGCGCTTCTGGGGCTACTGTTGGCGTTCTTGGTGCCGGTCAGCGGTGCCGCCAAGACCGGCGCGGGGCTCGTGACCTGCGGGTCTGTCCTGAAGCTGTTCAACACGCAGCACAGGGTGCGGCTGCACTCGCACGACATCAAATACGGATCCGGTGCGCGGGGCTCGGGACTGGGGCATCGCTAGGGGGCGGGGCCTGGGGTTGAGAGTTTGAAGTCTGGGTGATCTTGGCCGTCTGCGGGCCAGGGGTCTGCGGGTTATCTGGCTGGAGTTATTGGGGGACCTAGAGAGACAAGGATGGGAGGTTGGAGTGGATATTCGGGATATCGGGGGCGAGTATGGTCGTCAGGGAGCTGTGGGCCAAAGGACTTGGAGTTCAGCGGGGGGCCAGGGATGCGGGCTTGGGGGGAGCCGTTGGGGTCGCAGGCTTGAGATTGTCCGGGGGTAGTTTATGGTGTTCGAGCCGAGGCTCGCAAGTTCTCGGATTGACGGTGACCCCGGGGGGGGGGGGGTGGGGTGTCGCCGTCAGGCAGTGGCCAACAGTCTGTGACCGGCGTGGATGCGTCTGACGACGCCAATAGCTACTGGAGGATCCGCGGCGGCTCGGAGGGCGGGTGCCCGCGAGGGTCCCCGGTGCGTTGCGGGCAGGCCGTGAGGCTGACGCACGTGCTCACTGGCAAGAACCTACACACACACCATTTCCCGTCTCCGCTGTCCAATAACCAGGTAAGCCCCCTCCCCCAGCCCGAGGAGAGGCTTCTGGTGTGTGTGTGAGGGGCTGGGGACAGAGTTTACCCTTCCTCTCACTTACTCTGGGCCTCACCTTCCTCTGTGAAAGAGGAATTTCAATTCAATGTTTACTGAGGCCCCCTCTGAACACACAGGTGACTCGCCAGGGCCCCTCTCTCAGGCCAGCGGAGAGACAGACAAGAAAAAGGGATCTGGGCCTGCTGGATGGCTCCACTCCTGGCGGCTAGCTGGACCCAGGAGGAGGATTCATATGGCCTTTGCCTGGGAAACCTGTAAGGGAAGAGGAACTAAGGCTGGGTCTGGAAGAATGAGTAGGAGTCCTCTAGGCCACAGAGAGGAGGAGAGCATCTTTCCAGGCCTGGGGAAGAGCTAGTGCATGGAGTTCCCTGGAACTGGATAGGGGAGGAAGGGCGGGAGGTTAGGGAAGGAGTAGAGGTGGAACAGAGGGTGCTTTTGGAGGGTTGTCAGAACAAAAAGCATGAGTTCAGTAGAGACCTTGACTGTCAGCCTGAAGGATTGGACTTTATATTGAAAGTCAGAGGGGTTAGGATGGGAAGAACATGGAAGAAGAGAGAGGAGGGGGCCTCGGTTCTGTGGAGGCCAGTGGTCACCACTCAGACAGGTGGGATAGGGTTTGCACGCGTTTAAAGAGCCTCTTCTGGAGAAGCCCTACCAGGGGCTGGGGCTGGTAT